AAATCATTCCAGCTTGAAAGATTCGACCATATATAGTAGCGATACTCACAACCGTAGGAGAACTAAACTCAGCCCGTAGAGACCCAAAACGCCCCAAACTCGAAGCTAAATCAAAAAAGGAACCTAAAACAGTAGTAAGCCCAAGTAGGCGCCCTTGAACCCTAAAGCCCTCCGACTGAAGAGCCCCACTTAGAGGTTCATGGGTACTTAGTGGGGTTATACGGCTGGATCCTGCATTACGCACAATAAGGAATAGACCATAATCCCCCTAGTTTAGGGTCCTTAAGGTAGCGCAGGATTTATGTCATCAACAGTATGTAAAGTGCCTTTCGGAGCTTCTAGACGGTTGAGTCAAAAAGGTAGTTGCAAGTAGGGGTATAAGTCCCCTAACTTAGAGACCCACCTATCTGTACTCATATCCCGCATGAGGGATAACCCATATCAGGGCACTTAGGATTTCTAGTTGCCCCACTTATTAAACCCCCCACACCCTAAACCCTAAACCCCCAAGAGGCCAGGATGCATCCCGGGGGGGTTCGGAAGTCGATCCGCCGCCTCACTAGTGACAACAGAGTCATTTTGGGGCTTAGGGAGTTTATGGTTTAGGGTGCAGCAGAATCGTTTTGGGGTTTAGGGCTTCGGGAGTTTAGGGTTTAGGGTTTAACAGAATAGCTTTAGCTTTGGGGCGGTGCATGATTGTATCTCAGTCTCCCAGTGGGCCCTTTTTCCTTTTTTGAGGCCTAGAAGCTAGGGGTCTTCATCATTTTTGGTGGTATCTAAGTGTTAGTGCGTACATACAGTGATTGTAGTTTCCCAACCCCATCTCGTAAAAAGAGACCTGTTCTGAAGAATCTCGCGATGTTTAAGCACTGGTCAGGGCTCCGGCGGATGGGGCTGCATGCAGCAGAGCTACGAAGGCCTGGCTTCCGCTATGCAGATTCTGCTTCTTGCCGGATGCACTTTCGGGAATCGCATGTTCTTGTTTGGGGCGAGTTTAGCGTTCAGGGTAGTAGTTCCATGCTGTGACGAGACGATTACGGGCGCGACTGGCTCTCAGGGCTAAAACTCGGCGTTGGGGCAGGGCTGCCAGCCAATCAGCCATGACTCAGTTGCAGAAGCCTCTGCAAGCCTGCCGAGCCCTTGTCATTCCAGTGTCGAGCCCCTCCCCCTTAGCTCTAAGCTCTCCGACACCGGAACACCGTCCTAAAGCCCTAAACCCTAAACCCTAAACGACACCGGAACACCCTCGAAAGCCCTTCAAAAGAACGCAGCGCCCAAGCTTTTGTGCTCGTTTTTTGTCGCCATGGCCGCCCTGGCTCCACCAGTGCTATCTTGGCAGCCGAGGTTTCTGGGCCATGTTCCCGAATTTAGGGTTGTTATTATTAGTATGATGTAGAAGATTACTATGATTATCAGTATTAGTATTATTATTATTACTATTCGTATGAGTATTAGTATTAGTATTCTTACTCTTATTCGTATTATTATGATGGTTATCATTATTATTCTCATCACGACTATTGTTATTACCTCTGTTAACGGATCTCGGGTTTCATGACATGCAGAAAAGAAGTTCCCCGGCAGAGCTGACCGTCTTGTAGGCTTGCAATGAGACCTCGGTAGTGGGAGGTGTGTATTGAAGCGAATGCAGCTGGGCTGGTTGTCTAGCGCCGGTGCACACGCGGTGCAGGCTTCTTTGTTCTAGATTCTACGCTTGTGGAGCCTCACATCCAGGGTTAGCGATATACTGGACTCATAGAATTGAATAGAAACAGCGGAGGCCGCATTTCCAAGAACGATATGAAGGAAACTGCAAAGAGAGCACTAGTAATCTTCAGCGAACGGGCATAGCAGGAACAACACTACCAGACAGAAGCAGTATTTACGCTGCAATGAGAAGAACTGTAATGGTCGACGTCGTGAGGTATTTTGCTCGCGCGAACTAGGAAATGCCAGGGTTTTCCGTCGCCGAGGCTTCCGACAGCTGGTCAAGGTCATCGAGAGCCAATTGTATGCTGTCCTTAATAATTAGAATCGGGTTTGGGGGTTCAGCAAGTGTAGTTAATCAGGAACCCTAAGTTATCAGATTGGTAACGATGTATGCTTCTATGATTATATTAGTGTATGCTGGGCTGATCGGGTTCATTTGCGGGCGCTGGTCCCGTTGAGGAGTCCACTTCTCTTGCCAGGCCGCGGAAGCGGGGCTTTTTGAAGAAAGCGCAAGTTTCCTAATCTGTTCGGGCTATCTACCATGCAAACTGTGCAAGCCCGAAACCTTGAACCGCCAGGCTACATAAATACCACTGCTGTCATGAACCCGTGGTTTGCTGTGAGCCGGAGGAAAACCGGAACACGCCCTGTCAAGGTGTGGTTGAAACTTGCCTGCAAGGTCCCTCACAAGAAAAGGATCCCTGGCCTGTGTCCTCCCGAATCCTTGCCTGGCAGTGCCGAGTGTGAGACTCGAAGCCGCACTCGAACTAAGAACGATACTTTGGCACAGGAGGCTCCTTTGTGTTCGACAAATGTTTGGGCCAAAAACTCATATAACGAGGCAAAATTCTGATGATGCTCAGACATTCATGATGATGACGATGCTGGTGCATGTAACAGCGTTTGACGACCACAGTTCAACTGTGGTCAATGCAGGGAGGTGTGCAGTTCTGAGCTTTTTTTTTTCGAGCCTGGCCGCGCTCCAACAAGGTACAGTCTCGACGGCCTTTGCGAAATGCACAGCTCGCCTATGCGGCACCGGCGGCTTTGATTCTTTTCCTTCCTCGGAGGCCGGCGGACCCTCCAAGTTTTTGCTACGTTTGGGGCTGGGGTTTCGGTGCTGGGACCTGAGCCGAATTCGCAAAGACCCGCGCAGCCCTCCCACCGTCCGGGACCAAAACAGAAGGCTCTCGAAGCGCGCCTAACAGCACGAACATGAAACTTCAACCCCAGAAACATATGCTCGGTATGAAGGTTATCGAATTGAGAGGGGCCGTCATGGGAGTTCATGGTGGCGCAAACAATCCCGAAAAAATCCAGCGGTGGGCCACTTTCGGGCCTACCAGGTTGAGCCTCGAGAGAGCAAAGAATGAAGGGGAGCCGAGCTGTGCATTTTGGGCTGGGTATTGGGGGAGGTAGGCTTTTGAGATATTTGATGTTTTCTTTTGTTGGGCTCTACAGGGCCTTATTGCGAATATTTTTCAGTACGGGCCTTGATGATGAAGACAGAGTTCAGGAAGCAGTCGGTTCGGTTCGGTTCGGTTTGACTTTTGCGGCTCATCGGTTCGGTTCACGGTTCGCTCGGTTCGCAAAAGAGATACCATTTGATGGTAAACAAAAGGTGTGTGGTTTCTTCTGGTCGGGGTATGCGGTTTTCCCCACGTTTCGGCGGCCCGAGCGCTCCAATCTTCTTTATTGATTAAAAACTAACTGTTGCTAATTAGAAATAAATCTTTCTGCATAAACATATTTCGGGCATTAGTGAGGTCTGTAGATGGTCCTGAGCCAACAAGGTAAATGAACCGAAAACGGTTCGGTTTGGCCGCTTAGCCTTGGTTCTCGGTTCGGTTTGTAACTTCGCTTAGAACGGTTCCGGGCAATTGACCCGGTTCGTCGGTTCGCGGTTCTGTTCGCTCTGTTTCATGGAGTTTTGGGGCAAGCTATACTAAAAATAATGCAGGTCATAATGGGTTGCTCGATGTCCTCCTATAGCAACCCAAGTTGATGATCGCGCACCCTCTCTGAATGGTTGCTTGGGGTGAGGGTTTCCGGACAGCCTCTGAAATTTGAGCCCAAGCCAGTTTCAATTGGGCTTTGTTTGGGGCTTAAGACTCTGAGGGTTTACAAGGGTTCCCAGACCCTGAAATTCTGCTGCTTGCAACAGGCACTCGCGACAGTCCCGAGCCTTTCGAAGCCAACGGCGAAGCTCTGGCGAAGCTGGAACAGGTGGGCGAGCTAAGCCCTTGGGTGGTTATGACGTTCAAGTTATAGGGGCCTGCTCCACTAGATTCACTTCGGTGCAAGACTCCGTTTATGGATCCAGGTCCTGCGCGTTTCCACGTAGGGTGTGTCGCCAAAGCAAAGCCCTTCCAGAGCCGGAACCTGTGCAGTCACCATTCCGAGCGCACTCAGAGCTGAATGGCCAGCAGGTTGCAGGCTACCAGCAACAGTTTGAGTCCTGTAGTAGACTCTCCGAGGGATGAGGGAACTGCCACGCAAGCCGAGGCCCCTCCCTCACTGCGACCCTGCAAGAGCTACCGATCCTCAAAGAGGTGAAGCTCCCCACTCTCAAGGCCTGGGTACTTCAATCGGTCATAGCAAGAAGAGCATATCATGAACCATATTTCCCTGTGAGAGCATCTGAACTTTATTGGTGAGCCTAGCTCTAAGTCATAGGCCTTGGGGACTTTCTGGAATCTTGGTGTATGGACGGCGTGGCGTGTAGAGTCAGGGAAGTTTGTGGTTGTGAAATCGAAAAGTGCTTTGGGCGCTGTTGTTGCAAGGCCGCAAATCGGAACCTTCTGAACCGTTTGCATGCCCTCACATCCTAGTCTCATCACAGAGGGACCCAGAATGGTGTTCGAGCTTCATGTACGCAGCTGTGGCTTCTTGAGGGAATCGGCTGAAGGGTGAGAAGGTTGAAGTCTGGGCAGCTTGCTAAACTTCAAGCCGCTAATTATGCATGGCTTTCGGGGGCGGGTGTCAAACACACGGTACGGCTTCACCGGCTTGATGGTGGCTCAATGTCTAGGCACATGTGCAGGTTGTTGCATGCTTGGGCTATCCAAAGCACTGAGGTTTTGGGGTAGTACACCCTTACTAGTTACCTGACGCCAGAATTTGCGAGAAAACAAGAACTTCAACTAGACTGGAGACTAGACCGAATGGGTACCAATCCAGGGCAGGCTCGCTTCCAAGAACGGCCCGTCTGGTTGACCCAGACGAGATTTGTTGGCCAAGGAATATCGAGTCCGAGGTAGGATCCAAACCACGACTGTTTCTGCTGGTGGATGCGCGAAAATGAGGACCTGCAAGCTGCGGCTGCAGATGCCAGCATCAGCGGAGCACTGTCCAAGTACTTGGACCACTTCAGCCGCGGTTGGCAGGCAAACAGGGGGTCTTGGGCAAAAAGGCAGAGGCGCCGTCCTAAAGTCAAGCAACATGGCTTCAGGCTCACTAGTCTGTTTCTTCAGATGTAAGACATACTCAAGTTGTAGTTGTAGTAGAAGGAACAAAGTTGTGGCTCTACCCCCTTCCAGAGCCGCTGCTTGAAAGGCAAAGTTCAACTGAAGATGCATTTGCGCTTAAAGGTACAAGCTCTCCCCCGACACCCAGATACAGTCTGCCCCAGCCCCAATATAGGGGCCTTAATCATGCTGTTTTGGGGGGGCTCCTTGTCACAATTGTAGTATAACATACCCCAAAACCCTATTCTAAGTATTTAAGGCCCCTTCGTTAGGTGGCCCCGGAGCGACGACCACCCCGAGCCCGGCATGGTCGTGATGTTTCCAAAAACTTGAACCGACAAGGTATACTTGTAGATGGGTGGTTCACTAAATTAGGGACCTACGTAACAGGGGCCCTAATTTAGGGCACTACCCAGATGCAGAGCCCCAAGCCTCAAAAGGTTTCCAGGATCATGCATCTCCCAGAATCCCAAGACCTCAAGAGCACATGGGCGCTAGGGTTTAGATTCAAAAGACCTGAAGAGCACATTGGGGTTCGGGTTTAGAATCCCAAGACCTGGAGTGGCAAGTGCCGAAAGGACCTGGGATCGGTCACGGAACGACTCCGACGCCTGAGCTGCACGCTTGATGCCACAGGGGCTGTGGGATTTCTGTCGTTTGGACCTCTTGGGTGGTTCCAACTGTCATCCAGAACTGAATCAACGAGTGCAACACAAGCACGAGATGATTGCCGGGAGATTCGCAGTGCCCGGCAACTTTAATCTACTCCTCCACACCCCACATGGGTGATCTACCGCGTTGCGTCGGGTAAACCCAATGTACGCTTCGCTTGAGGGTTCGTTGAAGGTGACGGGTGTGGGTCCCTCGAGGTGCTTCATCAAGAACCCCTTTCTAAAGGAAGCTCCAAAATCCGAGACCCCCGTGCCCAAACCTTAGCCTTAAACCCCAAGCCCTGGAAACCCCAGAAGCCCTTGGCATTACAATCCCGCCGATAGAGCCTTCGCTACCAAGGACTCTCGGAGTTGAAGCGCATGCTCCTGTGATTCTGTTGAGAACCACTGTGCGTGGGGATTTTTGGTGGTGCTCGACTCGTTTTGAGGGCTTTAGCCTAAACCCCTGAAGTAAACGCAGAAGATAAGTAGAGCAATTTACTTCGTCACTGTTGTAAATATACAGAATCCGCGGAAACGGAGGTTGGACTTCAAGATGGACCTGCAACTTCCCTCGTCCTTTGCGCCTCAACAGCAAATAAATAGCTCTGCAGATTTGTGCCTTCGGGTGTATGGCAATGATTGCTTACTGTCTACGCTGCCTTGGCCTACTCATTTTTGCGAGTTGATGCTCAAATGTGAGTCTGACTTGTCGTCCTGTCCGTGGAACCCCAGCAAGAGAAATCCTGGCCGTTCACTCTCCGTTGTGTTGACTGCCTGGTGCCGAAGCCGTGGCGATTTTCGAAGTTGACTTTCATGATCCGAAACATGTCTCTTGCTTTACCACAGCCAGAGATGAGAGGCCATTGTCGGAAAGCCTGCAGAAACCCGAGCGCCGGACAGTCTCTCAGGCTCACTTCAGGTGTCCGAAAATGCCATGAAAGAATGCATGTTCACGGACCTTCGTTGACATAGACTTAGACACTGCAGACGGAGACCAAGGCCTCAGCTCTTGCACTTGAGAACCCCCCAAGTCACGAACTCTGAACCCTCAAGTCTGGAAGCCGTGCCTGCCTTGAGCGAGTGTGCGAGTCGAAACCCTCAAGCTGCTTATCTGGTTCTGTGTGTATATATATATATATACATATACATATATACATATATACATATATACATATATATATATATGTCTGTGTGTGTGTAAATATATATATATATATGTATAAGTGTCGTTATTTGTTTGTTTCTTTATACATGCATACATACATACCTACATACCTGCATTCCTGCATACCCTACATACTTACCTACCTACAAGCTTACCTACATACTTACATACCTACATACATATACTTATACTTATATCTATCAACTTATCTACTTACATACATCCTTACCTGTCTTTCGCATATTCGGGTCGCTCGCATTCCATGAGGCACCCGACTTCGACGTCGCTGGCGCCCGGCGACTCCTGAGTGCGTGGCAGGTGCGCAGAGATGGGGCATGCGGGAGCAGCTAAAGCAAGTCGGGCAGTTCGGTAAAGTAGGGCCTTTTGAGGTCCCAACTATCGTACGGCACCCTTATCAAAAGGAGCCGAAAAGGGAGTCTAGTTGAGAGGGCTACCCAAATTCGCTCCGATCACTGAGCTCCATGGCCACGGGCGTCATCCCCCGAGTCCCCTAAGCCCCAGACCCCACAAAATACCGCCAAAACAGGTTTCGGGGTTAGGCTCTGCAATAACTAGTAATTCTAACTAACAACTACAATCGGGAACCCTAAGAATGATATTATTTAATAGGTTTCTATCTGAGGTTTTAGGGTTTCTCGCCCTTTGCCTTGAAGTCCCGTGGCGGCTGGGGCTGTTCGCGCTGTGAGAGGGCACCTATTGCAGTATTTACTGAAAGCATCCTAAACCCTAACCCTCATACCCCAACTTAATGCCCTAATACCCTGAACCCTCAAACCCTGATATGTTGCTGAGGGTCTTCAGGCTTTCTGAAGGGCTGGCGCTCTTCCGGATGTTGTGTCGAACTGCAGGTGGAGTTCTTTGGGCTGCTTCTGGATTTCTACATGCATGAAGATCTTGTGCAAAGTCAAGGAACTGTTTTTGATTTTTGATTTCGACTTCGTGACTTGAACCATCAGGAACATCAGCTTGTCAGCTCCTTCAACAGCGTATCTGACCGGTTAGATCGTAAGAGAGTGAAGACTTTGCGTACTTGGCCCTGGGCGTCTCGCCACAGATGCAATGTGCTCGGGGAATCTGGCCGGGCGAGCACTAATCAAGCCTCTGTAACAAGGGTTTCTGTGTTGGGATGTGAGATGTGAGTGCCACTTCCAGGACAACCCGTCGGAGAAGCCTCAACTCAGCCGCTACTGGCAGAGGCAACGCAGATGTATGGGAAAGGAATTTCGGTTTGGGATCAAAGGATATTACAGGGCCTTTGATGTTTACGGTACTGGACTTTGGGGTCAATACAGAGAGCTTGCTTGGAAGTAGGGAGCCTTGCAGAGGCCAAGGTGACCCTAAACCTACAGTATAGTACAGTACAGCAAAGTATGCTATAGTGTAGTACTGTTTACAGGACAGTATAGCATAGTACAGCACAGTGTAATGGAGTATAGTATAGTGGCAACAGAGCAGTTGAGCCCCACTTCGATCCAGGAGAGGAGTCGATGTCGCTCTGGGCGCACTACCGCGACACTTGTCTCAGCTACGCAGGTGCTAAGAGTAAAAAAGCTTCAGCAGCAGAGTAGGTAACCCTTATCCCCTTTGTTCGGTCATAGGTTGGTAAGATTGTACATGTTTATGTTTACTTAAACTCAATGGGGATTAGATATTTATGTTTCAGCACCAGCCCAACCATGAACTAGTATGGGGTACTATTATCCCCATATAACCCCAAAGACTAGCCTTATGTCCCCTAGGATACTGGACAAGTAAGAACTCGTCAACTCTTATGCTGTCAGCTTTCTGGCCCATGATACAGGGGCTCGCGCTTCTGCAGGTCACTATAGTGGTTGATTCCGATTAGCATATGTCTTTTTCCTCGTGATCTGAACCATTGAACACCAGAAGGATTCTTTCTCGGGTGAGCCGCCTCAGCAGCCTTATAAGCTGGCCCCAAACCTTACCGAACGGACTCTAAGCCCAAGATGGAGTGGCTGTAAGTGCTGAGGAAGCTACCTGCTCGGCCTCGAGGACGTTGCACGGGCTGTTTTGCTTTATAAGGGGCCTTTGAAAGGGTTTTGCATTGGGCTCTATATGATATGTCTATATGGTTCTATATAGGGACTCGATCAACGTTGTAGGGAAAGTCTGCATCCGTCAACGAAGGAATGTTCTTGAACTTATGGAGGGATCTTTCATGTGAAGTCACGACAGTATGTCTCTTAATTGGAACGTATGGAGCCCACTGCATCTTGAGGAAATGTCTGTTGCGACTGCACAGGTCCGACTGCAGAACAAGAAAACAGGTATTGAGGCGGTGGCGATATCATGAGACACTCTGCAATCAGGGATATGCATTGAGGTTCCGGTGTCGTTTCAATGGCGCCGTGGCTGTTTGCATCGGGGATGTCAAGCTTTCGTGTTTCTTGGGCGGGACGACTGTTCGGAAGGCCCCAGATTTCTGGTTTGCCGAGAAGCCCCAAACAAACGTCGACGGCTTGATCTCCAGAAGGGATGGGTACATCTGGCTTGCCTGACCTCAGACTTGGGAATCGAACGGGGCACTGAAGCCGTTGGAGAGGATGTGGAGTGTCTGTTGAAGATCTGCGAGCTCTCTGCACGTGTTTATTGGTTCTTCTCGGACGACAAGGAGGATTTGAGCCTTGGCCGCGAATTGAGCGAAAGCCTTGAATCCCTACACTGCTCAATCCGCGCACCCTGCATGTGTACCGAAGGGGCGTTTCTCGCCATCTACCGACTATGTACTGGTAACACCAGCCCTGTAGAATAATGAACCCTAATCTAGCTGTACTAAGCCCCCAATGACACCCTTATAGAAACCTCGCACACCCTCTTCTGATATACATGTGCCGCCGCACTACCTTATCCCCTGCGCGCCATGAACCCAAAACCTTGATTCCCCCCTGCGTTACGAGATAATGTGAAGCCGGATAGATCCCGTGTGAGGCCTTTAAATGACCCCGTAACAAAACCTTGGGCCCCGGCTTGGGTGCTTTGATGCATGAAGTTCTTCCAGCGGAGACGCGACGTGGTCACCTTTTCAAGTGCTCTCTTGGAAGATACGTTTCGGATTGGGGTCTTTTTCTAGCAGCTTTCTGCCAGCATTCGCTTAAGGGTCCAGGCAGTCGCTGTGCTTGAAGAAGTTTTCCGGGCAACATGCTGTCCAGGAATCACAAGAAAGGTGCTGGCTCAGTGCCACAATCCGCAGTGCCAATAAACCTAGTGTGCTGCTGCAGTTTTACGATTGCTGATATGACGAAGATATTAAGATGATGTCTGTGATTGTGTTGTCTTGACTTGTAAAGATATGTTTGTCAGGCTTACTGTGAGTGCCGTGTCGCTTTTGGTGCCCAGCATGGTGTTCTTCACCATGTGACCCGCCGTCACCGGTCCTGTACTCAAAACATGATCGGAGCCCTAAAGCCCTAAGCCAAAACTCCAAACCCACCCCCCTAAAGTTTTTGAAGCCCTCAGACGCTACCTGACCGAAATGCCTGATCCTGAACAGGTTCCAAGATCTCGTAATTTAAAACGGCTCCTGATAAGTGATAAATCCTACCAGGATTCAAGGACTACCCCTTAAACCCAATCATTGTAGGACCCGGAAAGCCTGAAGAGCCCACAACCCTGAAACCTCTAACTCGCAGAAGAACCGTAAAACGACTCGACAGAGAACAGATTTTCTAGTTAAATACTCTGTCTCTATCCAGAACGCACCGTATATTATATTGTAGTTGTAACAGGTCATACTACATATGTATATATGCACACACACATATGTATATATATATATAGATAGAGAGACAGAGAAAGAGAGAGTTACCCGTGAGGAGGCCGGGTGATGTCTCGAACGACGCTCCGCCGCTTAGCTTCGATGCGCGGCTGGTGGCCCACGTGGATGCGCCCGGGTCGAAGCCTTTGGGTTTCGGGGTCTAGGAAACTTGTTTGGGCTAAGATTTGAGGAAACGCTTGGGCTGTGGATGTTTAGGGATTTTCGGCTGTTTAATTAAAACCTTTGGGTTTGGTGTGCTTGGAGCTTTTTTAAGCAGGATTCGCTGTGAAGCACTCGGTGTCATTGGCGGTTGAACAGTGTAGAGAGCCTGGGGGACTTTTGGTTCTACGAGCCTCACGGGCCTGGTGCTGTGGTAGAGGTGCATTCTAGTCCATTATAGTATAGTATAGTATAGTATAGTATAGTATGTATTATAGTATAGCATCGTATATTATAGTATAGCATATTATAGTCTATTATAATGGGTAGTTCTATAGAAGTCCCCTGACATGGTTTATCAGTATAGTTACCCTACTTATATTTACCCATGAACCGGCAAGTAATGGAGGTACTTTAAGGGTTCAGGCATTAGTGGCTGGTGAACCCCTGACTCATAAAACCTTTCTCTTGAATGCTCTTGGTCTTCAGATCGCGGCTTCAGCATTCATGAAGAAAAGAAGAGATATATATCAGGGATCTAGATTATATTAAGTTTGGCATGCTCTTCTGATTTTCTCTCGACAAGTTTCAAGACCAAGAATCATTGTGCTTTAAAGCCCCTACCCACGAATCCGGAAAGGTCTGGAAACTAGAACCCCAAAAAAATTGGTCTTCATCCTGGTCTCGTGATTAAGGCCATAGATGATATCATCTAGTCTACCGGAGCTGGTGTCGGAGCAGCCACAGCAACTTGCACGACTCCCAATAAGAAGCCATCCTAAACCCTCTACATCAACCCAAAACCCCGTATATACACTCAAACCCAAAAGTGGAGCCAGTGCAGCCGAAGCCGCTTTCTTGGAAGCCATCCTGCACTCAGCATCCGAAGGGTCGTGGACCCGGCAGCAGCAAGATCTCAAAGCTTGAAAATGACATCTTTGTCATTCGGAAGCACCTCCTAGCAGCAAAAAACACAAGAGCAGAACCAAGAGCTGCGCGTCGTATCCTTGTAAGGAGCAGACAACGGATGATCTCCAGACTCTGGCTTGGTTTGCTTGTGACCTCCGGCACTCATATATGAGTGCTTTGGGTTGATTCAGGTCTTCGGACTCTGTGACTTTTGTGATGAGTTTAGGGTTGAAGAAATCCAAGGCCGTGCCTGGTTGTTTTGCTTCATAGCTCCGGTGGGTTGGTGTGCTCGGGACGTTGGGGTCTTCGAAATAAAGCCCCGATGGAGGCCTAGGGGCCTAGAGCCTTCGAGGACGAAAGGAGAGGAAAGCGTTCGACATGCCCTCATTGCTTCTGCACCGTCCGTTTCCACTCGCCTTGACTTTGAGGCAGAGGAACTTGAGGGGTGTAAGGTTGGAGGTGTAGAGCCATGGGTTTTGTTTGTTCAGGCTCCGAAGGTCTACGGATGAACAGTCCAAGGTTGTCTCGCAGTGACCAGGCTTCCCCTTGCATCTCACGGGCTCAAAGCTACAATTGGGTTCTTACACAGACATAAATTTGAGTTGTCGTAATATGGAAAGCATGGTAGTCACTCTGTATCCCTAGTATGGAACCTCAGTGAAGTACTTCAACCTTCGCAAGCACCCACACAGTGCAAGTCATGGCTTGTCCAGCATGCATGCTACTCCTGTGCCGTTTGGGGGCGTTTCGGTGAGGCTAGATGTGACTGGGACATACACGTTTACTTTGAATCAGAGGACTGCGAACTTCGTGGGCAGCTGACTCGGGTGTTCCTTGTCGGCCGATGGGTGCTGCAAGGCTTTGCGGATTTGGAAGTCAGATGGGGATTGGTACAATTAGGGACCCCTTCCAGTGTAGAGTTTCAGATGTTGGCACAATTTTTGCAAGGCTTTCCTAGTGCCCGCTGTACTCTGAAACGTTCAAGCATTGGAGCGCAGAGGGTGTTGGGCTGATAGATCATGCATGCCTTGAGAATCCGACACCCTCAACCCCGATGTGTATCTTCGTTCGTGCACTTGGCTTTGGTGAGAAGAGCAGATATGTCGCATGTTGGGACCCGCATCTCCCGACAAGACTCGCGAGGAGTAAGTGCAAGAGTTATGCGGTTGCTTTCAGGGTATGACAAGGTGACAAAACGGTTATTGGAAGGTTACAATAAGGTTACAAACAATATGGTCACTGTTACGGTTGCTGTAAGGTTACAATAAGGTTATTAGAAGGAGACTATGACGTTACTATAGGTCTCCTTGATGGCTCAAAGTGCCGATGCGTTTGAAGATTTGGGTCGTGGCCTAGGCTTCCTGTGACTTTCCTTTGTATCTCTTCATAAAACAGCCCAGCCCTTCTTTGGAGTTCTATACTACGGTTCGTGGCTTTCTGAAACTTCTAGGTTACAGTCCTACTGTTAGACAATTCCTCCAGATGCTGCAAATCCGAATGATCTCCGGCGAAATGAGCGTACCTGTCGACGTGACACAGGACGTGAGGGGCTTGAAGCGGCGTTTGAATCAGCTGCGTGGGTTTCCCCTGGGTTTTAGGCAGAGGTTCCTCCTAGGTGGCGAGATTTTGGAAGATGCTGTCAAGCTGGACTCACCGATGGACCTGGATCTCGTTCTACTGCAATTCGTCGAAGATTCGAAAGAGCTGGCGGACGAGCTAGTAGGTGCCGCTGCCCATGGACATATTGCCAAAATTGAGTCCAATCTGCAGCTGCCCCAAGATCCAGATACGCGAAATGCGCGTGGTATCACGGCTTTGATGATGGCATCTAGCGAAGGTCATGCCGAAATCGTGAGCTTGTTGCTGGCGGCCGGCGCCGACACAAACCTTGTAGAAAGTACCGGCTGCACAGCTTTGATAGCAGCATCGAATGCAGGGCATGTCGAAGTTGTGAGCTTGCTGCTGGATGCCAGTGCCGACAAGGATGTAGTAGACAAGAGAGGCTTGACAGCCTTGATTATGGCATGTCATGAAGGTCATGCCGCAGTCGTGAGCTTGCTACTGGAGGCCGGCGCCGATAGCAATGTGGCAACCCCCGTGGGCAACACCGCTCTGATGAGCGCATGTTATCGAGGCGATGTTGAAATTGTAGATTCGCTGCTGGAGGCCGGCACCGACAAGGACACGACAGACACCGACGGCGGCACAGCTTTGATGATCGCAGCTTCTGGAGGTCATGTCGATGTCGTGAGCTCACTGTTGAAAGCCGGCGCCAACAAGAATCTAGCAAGCCACTACGGCTGGACAGCCTTGATGAAAGCATCGAGGGCATGTCATTCCGAAGTCGTGAGCTTGCTGCAGGACAGCACATCCGAGGCAACAACTGAACCAACCTATTTCTGAGCTTCCACGTGCTTTCGTGCCGCGGTATCGGGAACCGGTGCATTGTCTCCTGCCCAGAGCTGGGACTACTCTCGTGGAAAAGGCTTCACAGACGCCGCTTTGGGCCGCAGTCCGGTGATTGATTGCGGTTTGGAAAAAATTGCTCATAATAGTCTTCCCTTATGGCCCCTAATAAATTTCTAGGATCACCTCCCCCAAAACCAGATTCGAAATATCGTTCGGTGGGCATGCTAGACTTGCTTTCGGTTTAACTTCAGGGTTTGATCGATAAGGCTGTCTGGTTCTTCTGCTGTTCTACACTGGTACTGTAGAAGTTAGTTTCAGTTATTAACCGGAGCCTCACTGATACCACTTCGCCAGGTTTCTTGCTACCTGCAGTTGCAGCTGAGTTTAG